GATATGCAATTTGCGATATATGCGATATGCGGTATGTGATATGCGATATGCCATATGCAGCGATATGGGATATGCAATATGCAATATGCGATATGCAATATGCAATATGCGATATGCAATATGCAATATGCAATATGCGATATGCAATATACGATATGCGATATGTTATGTATATGCGCATGCATCTGCATTATGCAAGCATACGCAGTCTGCAAGCATACGCATATGCAATCTGCAAGCATATGCAATCTGCAAGCATACGCCATTATGCGATCTGCAAGCATATGCCATTATGCGATCTGCAAGCATATGCCATTATGCGATCTGCAAGCATATGCCATTATGTGATCTGCAAGCATATGCCATTATGCGATCTGCAAGCATATGCCATTATACGATCTGCAAGCATATGCCATATGCGATCTGCAAGCATATGCGATCTGCAAGCATATGCCATTATGCGATCTGCAAGCATATGCCATATGCGATCTGCAAGCATATACCATATGCGATCTGCAAGCATATGCCATATGCGATCTGCAAGCATATGCGATCTGCAAGCATATGCGATCTGCAAGCATATGCCATATGCAAGCATATGCGATCTGCAAGCATATGCAACCTGCAAGCATATGCCATATGCGATCTGCAAGCATATGCCATATGCGATCTGCAAGCATATGCCATATGCGATCTGCAAGCATATGCCATATGCGATCTGCAAGCATATGCGATCTGCAAGCATATGCAATTTGCCAGCATATACGCTCTGCAAGCATATGTGATCTGAAAGCGTATGCGGTGTGCAAGCATATGCAATGTGCAAGCATATGCGCTCTGCAAGCATATGGGATGTGCAAGCGTATGCGATCTGCAAGCATATGTGATCTGCAAGCATATGCGATCTGCAAGCATATGCGATCTGCAAGCATATGCGATGTGCAAGCGTATGCGATCTGCAAGCATATGTGATCTGCAAGCATATGTGATCTGCAAGCATATGCGATGTGCAAGCATATGCGATCTGCAAGCATATGTGATCTGCAAGCATATGGGATGTGCAAGCGTATGCGATGTGCAAGCATATGCGATGTGCAAGCATATGGGATGTGCAAGCATATGTGATCCGCAAGCATCTGCGATCTGCAAGCATATGCGATGTGCAAGCATATGCGCTCTGCAAGCATATGTGATCTGCAAGCATATGTGATCTGCAAGCATATGCGATGAGCAAGCGTATGCAATCTGCAAGCATATGCGCTCTGCAAGCATATGAGATGTGCAAGCATATGCGATCTGCAAGCATATGCGATGTGCAGGCATATGCGATGTGCAAGCATATGTGCTCTGCAAGCATATGTGATCCGCAAGCATATGCGATCTGCAAGTATATGCGATGTGCAAGCGTATGCGCTCAGTAACAAAAACACGAAAGCATTAAAGCATGGAAACGTGAAAACCATCGCAGGACTCGAACCTGCTGTCCAGCAAGTGCTATGCTATGCTACGCTATGCTATGCTATGCTATACTATGCTATGATATGCTATGCTGCGCTACACTACACTATGCTATGCTATGCTATGCTATGCTATGCTGCGCTATGCTATGCTATGCTATCTGCAAGCATATGCAGTATGCAAGCATTTGTAATCTGCAAGCATATGCAACCTGCAAGCATATGCCATATGCGATCTGCAAGCATATGCCATATGCGATCTGCAAGCATATGCCATATGCGATCTGCAAGCATATGCGATCTGCAAGCATATGCAATGTGCAAGCATATACGCTCTGCAAGCATATGTGATCTGCAAGCGTATGTGATCTGCAAGCATATGTGATCTGCAAGCATACGCGATGTGCAAGCATATGCGATCTGCAAGCATATGCAATGTGCAAGCATATGCGCTCTGCAAGCATATGCACTCTGGGAACCAGCTTCCCTTCGATACCCGGGAATACCTTCATCTAGTTGTCGTTTCGTGCTCATTCGTGCTCAATTCATAACGAAGGGCTGAGGGGCCTTCAGAGCATATCGACGGAGTTCGGCTGAAATGGCCACTTAGCATGCAAAAGCCCTGTAATATCGCCATGCCAGGGATTGTTTTAATTACTTATGACTTTACAAATACTCCAAACATAAGGTTTCGTTCAGTCTGCGCTTGTCCCAGAATGAAGGGCTGTAGGGCCCTTCAGAACATACAAATGCACACAGCATCTGTTCGCAAGTCCAGCTTTCTGTTGAAGATGTAATAATAGCTAATAAAGATGGCCCCTCCAGCTAAAACATATCCACGTTACCTCTGCC